AGCCAGTAGCTTCACTGCTTGCTGCCTCTGTGTTTGAAAATTTGAAAAAAAAAATTACTTTTTAGAAGTTGTGAATCCACTTGTTAGAATTTTAGTTTTCATGTGAAGAGATTTCCCTCCACCCCCTAGTGATTTTATTCTCCCTGGAACAAGTTAGCTTTCGATTTCTAATTAATTATACAAGTAATAAAATGTTCACTTTCTCTCACAATTTTATTACAAGAAAAATACCTAAAAACATCAGAACATCCATACAGATATTTTAGGATGCATAGTACCCTATTACCCCACTAGAACACTACGTTCTCTGAATGCTGGGCTACTTGTGGTTCCTATAGTCTCTAAAAGTAGAACAGGAGCCAGAGCCTTCAGTTACCAAGCTCCTCTCCTGTGGAACCAGCTTCCAGTTGTGGTTCGGGAGGCAGACACCCTCTCCACATTCAAGAGTAGGCTTAAGACATTCCTCTTTGATAAAGCTTATAGTTAGGGCTGGATCAGGTGAGTCCTGAACCATCCCTTAGTTATGCTGCTATAGGCCTAGACTATCGGGGGATTTCCCATGGTGCACTGAGCTACTCTCTTCCTCTCTCTTTCTGCACTCATTCATGTCCCATTAATGCATGTTACTAACTTCACTTCTTCCCCGGAGTTCTTGTGCTTTCTCGTCTCGCAGGTTCTTATCGATCCTGGTGGAGCCTCCTGCCATGGTCCTGCTAGATTGCCGTTGCCAATACTGTTGTTGCTGTGCACCTGTCTGTCTGTCTGTCTGTCTGTCTGTGTCTCTCTCTCTCTCTCTCTCTCTCTCACCCCAGCTGGTCGAGACAGACGACCACCCACCTAGAGCCGAAGGATCTGTCCTAGGTTTCTGCCTTTTAACCGGCAGTTTTTCCATTTTCTGTTACTTTCTACCAGTCTGACAGTTTTAATTATGATTACTATTCTGATTCTGAAAGATTAACCTTTAAGACGACGTCCAACAGTTTTGGCTTGTAGCTTCTTACAGCAACAAGAAGACATAATAATGTCTATTATCTAATTCATCTGCAGTTTATCTGGTGACACTTTGGGGGTTACGTTCCTTGTAGCAGCTTTAAGTAAAAGATCTGAATACTTGGTGACTTATGAGTTTATTATTATGACTCAGGTTGGCACAAACTCCTACATTCCTGATGGATTACCAAATAACGCTGAATTTCTCCTGTTGACCTCCGAGTCGAGGAGAAAAATCTAATGTTTGCCACTGTGATGACTCTCCGGAGGTGTGAAGTCCTGTCTCATGTCTCATACATTACTGTGCAGTGTTTCAGTGTCTGTAACTCAACCTGCTTTTATTTTCTCAGCAGCGCCTGCAGACAAACACCTGTGTGGTCGTTTGCAGCCGACTGATGGTTAACACTAACATTAATGGGAGAATTTATTTCCTTAATTTTATCTTGGAGTACGGCAGGATGCATGAATCAGCTGTTCTCCTTCTGCTCACAGCAGCACATCCAAAGCCTCTGAGGGGAGAATCCAGCAAAACACAGCACATTTCAGCTTAATACGCCGCATCCTGACACACAAACATACACAAGAAGTTCTTATTAACTGCACACAAAGTAAGCAAGCAACAAATCCTCCAAAAACAAAGTGGCCATTACATAAATGATTCATATCTAATCTGGTGCGTAGAGTCATTCTGCAGTCTGATCAGCCTCCTCGCTCTCTTCACACTCTTCACTTTAGATATTAGGCTGTACTTCAGCGTCGTTATGGACCCCCGCAGAGCTTTTTAAACAGGAAACACTTACACACACAGAGTATCTCCACCCACCATCACTTTCTCACACTGCTTTAACGTCTTCACTTCCTTCAACATTTGATTTGTTCTCTCCCTTCATGATCACCGCAGACGAAGGTCTTCAGGTTGAAACTCGTCTGATAGTTGAAGTTTAACATTTAGACCAACGAGGAGTTCACTTCCCTTTAACACCTTCAGGATACATTTAAATGGTCTGACAGCAATGCTCTTTCAGTGTTGCTGAGATTGTTCTGCCTCCATTTACTCAAGTACAAATCTGAACTTTATTACACTGTAAAACAACACGTCTTAATAAAAGATCAAGTGAACATAAACTCATTCACATAAAACCCAACTCATAATTAATTGTTGAAGTAACTCAGTTGCTTTGAGTGAACTTATCCGCCGATACTCGATCAGTCGATCAGATGATGCATTTATTTTATTCCAGCGTTCAGCAGACAGTCCGCTATGTTAATGGGAGTTACGTCTCGTGGGCGACTTTATGAAACTGCAGACCAACAAACTAACAGAGCAGACACACACAGCCTGAGTTACGTAATCACGATACAAGAAAAAAGTAACTGTAATCTATTACAGAGAAGGAGGAAAAAACCAAGTGCATAAAGTATCAAGTATAAAATAAGTTACTGCACTATAAACAGAAGGCTCACAGTATTGTGATTAATTGTACGCACTCTAAAAAATGATTCAGAGGTCCTGTTGTCACTACTTAAATAAATGCCTGGTTGAAAGATAAAACCTGATTTACTGATGTCGATTTATATCTTTTTAAGTTGCAAACATTTAGAGTAGCTTAATCAACTTAAAAACTTTATGCTACTGATTATTAAGTTATTCAAAAATACCTTTAATTGTAAGGCAAAAGCTAATTGAACAGTTGCCACAACTCAAAAAGATTGATGCATTCATTGTTTCTCTGACTGGGGTTCGGCACCCTGAGCTGTACGCTGGATGTCTCCGTGCAGGTGAAGCAGGTGGAAATCTTTTCCTCTCAGAGGTTTGAGTGTTCAGGCTGGAGGCTGCAGGGAGTGCAGGAATATGGAAACCTCATTAGGGAGATGTGTTTGCACCCTTTGGTGGTTCAGGTCCAGTATTTGACTCCTGTATCTATAGTTATATCTCCACAGTGTTTGTTAAACTGCCTGCGATGGCCCTGGCCCCTGTGATTCCCACACACATTCAATTTCTTTCCTCTTTTCATGTGTCGGACACTCACATGCCCAGTCCTCATTAAACACCTGCTGTCAGTTACCTGCAGCCGGCTGTCGAGGCTGCTGTCGGGGATAAATTGTGTCAGACCTGCTGGAAGAAAGGAAATAAGCCTGACTGTGTGTTTCCATTAACATCAGGAATCGAACGGTCGAGTCAGAGCGAGCGCAGGTTTCCCGTAATGACTCCCAGCTGCTGCAGAGACAGTTTGGTGAGAAAGAGAGAGAAATGTTCTATTGTCAGATTTACACAAACATGATGTGTCTGCTTGGCTTTGAGCTTCCAGTCGGGGTGATTCTCTATCTTCTTGCTCTGTGCCACAGAGCTCCACTGTCCATTAAAAACAATCAGTGTTCCTTCACCATGATCACACTGGAGTTTATTTCTACACCGTCCTGCTGCCACAGGAGCAGTGGCTAGAAAACATAAAAAATATACACAGTAGGCTTATATGTCAGAGTTTGTTTCACTTCTGTGAAGAAAAAGAAATGTCAACTGTCTAATAGAACACTGTCAGGGACAAGACAACACTGAACCTGTCGAAAAAGAAGCCTATGAAGTCTGTTTGATGTATGAAAATGATACAAATACAGAATACAGACAGAGAATTGTATAAAAAGTTCCCTAAACAGGAAATAATCTGCTCAGAATTCATCCAAATCTCTGGTTTTACACAAACTTCCTGCAGTTACTGAGTTCCCTGATTGGGTTCATTGTACAGTTTTTAATATAATATGAAATATCCATCAAATATGTTACTGAGTCAGTTTAATACATGATAGAAAAGGCGTCCTTTAAGGAGAAAGGTTGTGAACCGCTGCAGTAAAGCACCAAATGTGGATTCATCCGCCGCGGAAAATAGTCCCCAACAGACGGACTATTTCCTACTACAGTGAGCAACGGTTTTAACCCTTTAAAAGAAAATACAACTATATATTTGTGAGGTGTTTTTAAAGATTGACATTATTAGGGGGGGGAGGACTTACTCAAAACACATCCATTATTACAAGCCTGTACGCCTACTTGCATTATGTCAGCACATATAAGCACATATCACATCCAACCTCCACACACGCATCTGAATCAAATCTAAAGCAAAACCAAAACATGCCAGTCTGGTTACAAGGAATCAAGTCCGCATTAACATGTGCAAAATAACCTCTGAAATACTATAACACGCATCAACAAACCAACCAATGACACCACTCACGCATGACCATCATAATTTAAAATAAACGGCCAAGCTGCCTACAGGAGAACCAATCCTCAGCAACATCATATACAACACAGTGCTAACAATTAATAATACAGTTTATACAGATTACTGCGTCTTCGGAGCACTCAGCATCAACTTCATGTTGTTCTTCTGGGGAGTCACTGGGTGGGAGAGGATCCTCTGTTCTGGTAGCGAGTGGGCCCACTGTGCTAGCTGCACCAGCATCGTCTTTCTCTCGTGCCTCTTCATCTCTGAGTGTATTTCGCACACTGATTTGAGCTAACATAGTCAGTGGGTTATAAAAGCTCTGAGGTTGACACGAGCTGGAGAGATCGTCACTTTCCGTTCTACGACTCGAGGCTTCAAAGCGGTTCTCCACAAACTGATGTGTTACATTACAGCTGGTCCTGATACCTGAGTGGATCGAAGAGGAGCTCTGACCTTCGTCAGTGTTTAGTGTTTTGAGGCAGACGTAGTTTCTGAACTGTTGCTGCTCTTTTCATTGTGGCTGTTGGTTAGTTGGTGGAGCCTGTTGCTGCTGACAGTGTTGCTGTTCAGGTCCATCACATTCTGGATCAGGTCTAATTATCTCTGTTTGCCTCTGACCCAAAGTAATTAGACCTGATAGACCGAAACCTAAACTAGAACAACTCTGAAACTTAACTCACAAAACAGAACTGAAACTCTCTCTTCTGTCTTTATCTGCTGATGAAGCTCGTGTGATTCGATGGAAAGCTCCGCCCACTAAACTGACCTCTGTCTTGGTTTCAGACTCTATGACGGTGCGGAGGGGAAAGAAGCTCAGCATCTCCATCCAGGAACACATGGCCATTGACGTCTGCCCCGGCCCCATCAGACCCATCCGACAGATCTCCGCCTACTTCCCCCGTCTGTCCCCCACCTCCCCCGGCCCCGTGTCCCCGAACCCTGCCTCCTCCCCTCTGGCCCTCAGCCCCGGCTCCGTGGCCTCCGGGATGGGCGGGGCTCACCTGCTGTCCCCTCTGCTGGCCCACGGCAGGCCGGGCGGGGGCGGGTCTTTGTCTCTGACCAGCAGCATGGACACGTCGGTGGAGATCAACAGCTCCGACAGTGACGACTGCAGTGAGCCTCGCTGTTGGCATGTGTCTGTGTTCCTGTTACACATCTGCAGAAAACATCCGACTGTTAGCGTCTCTGTGCATGACGCAGCATGACACTTCACCTCAGGGCCGGTTGACTGATCGGAAGTTGTTTAGACGTTCCTCTGAAATCAGATTTTTATAACTTTATTTGATTATATTTCATACATACAACGTCTCAGATGTTAGCGGTAGCTCTCAGCTGACCCAGAATTATGGTTCCTGCTTCGTTTTTGCCAGAATGTTGCTTTTCATATTAGTATAAAATTGTTGAACTGAAATTAAATATAGAAATAGGTTGGGACAAGACCTGTGCTTTAATAGTGATATCCTCCAATAGCCTCTAAAAACAGATAAATACAAATACAAACATTTACCTGAGAGATAGCATACTGGAACCATTGTTGCATCATGTAACGGGTTATGAAATGTAATAGCCAATGTTTTGCTAGCATTAGTTAACTTAAGATGCAACTATATTTTTACGATCTTTAAAATGTGGTTGTCTTACTAAAATAGAATAGCCTAGCACGTAGCATTTATAAGCACAGGAAAGGAGGAAGTTGACCGAGACTTGCTCAACTGTGATTGGAGCCCAGAGCAAAAAGGGGCGGGGCTTATGAAGAGTCAACTGAGCCTTTTGAATAAAAGTTGTTATATTTACTCGTACGTTATCTGTAGGATTCTCATTTCAGATGAGCTCAACCATAAAATAAAATAAATTTGCCTTAATAATAATAATAATCTGATTAAATGTGAACTTTTGTTTGTTATTTTATACTTTAAACACCCTCAGTATCTCTAACAGCCTAACTATGATCCCGACCTGCTTCAGTCTGAGGGGACGTAAAGATGTTGCTTTACAGTCCGATTTATCCGACCGGCCAAAACACCGACTCACAGTCCTTCACCTGATTACCCCAGAGTTCACTCCAGAGGATGAATAATTCACGTCGTTATGCGTAAATAACATTAATAATGCAGCACACAGCACAGAGTGAGAATACCTTCACACCTCGAGTGGATTACAGACACTTACAGTGTTTGATGAGGCAGCAGGTAAAACACAATCTACGCTTCAGAGACGCCACAAATGTGTTTGAATTGGCTTCATCCCACAAAAGAAGAGTGATGAGCTCTGTGAGAGGTGACTGAGAGCAGGAAGAGATCACTCCTTCGTGCTCTCCATCTGCTTCAAAGGAGAACAAATTGTGATGAATGACTCTGGCTGAATGTTTTCTGGCTCCTCTGTGGCTCAGATCCGCCCTAAAGTAAAGACTAATTAGAGGATTTTTATTACCTCGTTAACAAAAGTTTATAATCAGATTTGTTTTGCCGTCACCGGTTGATGACTTTTTATGTTTTCTAATAAAAACATTGATCGGAGCAGAAAAGCCTGAGAGAGGAGCAGAGTTTGACAGCCCGTCTCATGTAACTAAAAGACTTTGATCAAACATAAAAAGACACTTTCAATAACAAAGAACCTTGTTTTTATCAGTTTTATTCTTTGTGCAGAGATTTCTTCCTCAGGCTCAGATTTCATCACTGTGGATGATTATTACAGTGTAGTGACGTCTTTAGGGCAGGGCTCCAGAGTGCGACTAATAATTATTCTAGGTCGCACTGGTGCACCTGATGCTGCCCGGGTGAAAACTTTTCGCAAGCGCATCATCTCTCTGTGTTCTCCTGTGAGCGAACTCACACACTCATGGTAGGATCATATCGTGTTCTAAACCAATAAGAGACAGAGCTCGGGCGGGTCTTTGCCTCTGATTGGCTGTGGTCCTGTTCACCGCGCTACATTGTGTGTGTTTAAAAATTGGAGGAGACAACCATGTCTGGGATAGAGCCCGGCTCCGAGACCCAAATTAAAAAGGTCAAAATATATTCCTTCAGACAGGACTGGCTGAAACAGTTTCCCTGGCTGAGGTTCAACAAAGGACGTAACGCAACGCACTGCGTGTACTGTCAGGAGTGCGGTCAGAATATGGCCAGAAATAGTGCATTCGTGAGCGGGTCAACAACGTTTCGTATCAAACTTTTATTTGGAAATGTTTCATTTTGCTTAGTGTTTTAGTTTGAAATTTAGTTTCAATTTCTGCTCAGTGAAGCACTTTAAACACTTTATTTTTCTTTTTATATATAATTGTGCTTCAAATAAAGACAAGCATTTCTCTACACCTTATTCTTCTTTAAAAATCATTCACATTATATAAAAGTTATGGAGAGCGATAAAAAGGTGACCTTATGGCGTTAAAGACGACGCAATGAAAAATTTGGGTGCACCTACATTTTGTGCTGGTGCACCTAAAAAAAAGAAGTTAGGCGCACCAGTGCAACCAATGCAAAAAGTTAGTCTGGAGCCCTGCTTTAGGTTGTAAGTGCCGCATGTTTCTACTGCGATGTTACAGCAGCCGACTGTCTCTCCCCCGAGCTGCTGTAAGTCAGTGCAGGTGGGTGGAATCAGCCACGTTCACAACAACCTGCATTAAAACACCCAAACAGGAAGAACTTATTGATTATTTTACATTTTGTGTTCAGGACTGCAGTTGAGTCAACAGAGAGAGTTTATCTGTTCAATGTACTCTTTTGGTTAGATTCTATGGAAGCTAATTTCTGCCAAAGTGACGGGAAAAAAAAAAAAAAAAGATTCAGTAGAAGTGATTTTAATGAGAAAGTTTCTCTAGAATCTTAAAATAATGACTTTGTGATACTAAGTCAAAATATTGAAAACATTTCTCATTATAATGACTAACAGATTTTTTTTTTTTTCTCATCCCTTTGGCAGAAATGGGCTGAGTTTTTTTCCCGCCCTTTTTCCGAACAGTGCTGTCAAACAAAAGATCTTCCGCAGTCAGGTTAGTTCTGTAGCTCATTAGCTAGCTAATTAGCTTCTGTTTTGCTAACATTAGCTATCAGATATAACTAGCTAACTAATTTAAATCAAATTATCTGGATTAATAAAACCTCTTAAAGCTTAAGCGAGTTTTAAGCTGCCTACACAGATATAAATGTTTAAACTGCCACAGTGACCTCCTGTCTCTCCTCCTGTTTCTCCTCCTTTTAATCCGTCCTTGTGCTTTAAATCGGATCTCTGAGTTTTTTGTTTGTCCTTCTACTTTATTTTTAATTGAACAAACAAACTTCTGTCTGATGGAAAACAGTCCAAACAGTGGCGCTGACAAAGAGGCTCAGTTAGCAGATTCTGGTTGCTATGGAAACCGAGGCTTCAACTAACTAAAGTTGAACCGTTTTTAACAAACGAGGTCTGAAACAGTCGACTACATTGTGAATAATGGCCACTAATAAATGAGTGTGTTTCATTGGTCGAGACAGATTTTGACACAGAGGACCACAATAAGAAATTTAAATATTATTCATAAAAAACTGCTGTAATTTATAAAAACTAAAACAGAGTAAGTTGCAGAGATCCCGACACATTGTCGTATACCGTCTCGTTCAGACGCACAAGGTGCCCAATACAACGACGATGAGGTCTCAGTGTGACTGCACGATGATAACAAATGAACATTAATTCAGTTTGTGTTTCTTTGATTCATTTTTGGTCTTCTGTGAATGTTTCGTGCTACTTTGTGATAGTAATGAGATGTAACGCTATCAAACAGACAACAACTTTACTTTTCCACAAGCACAGGAAGTCCGCCACGTTTTCAGCATCCAGTGATGCTTTTTGCAGTTTGTTAATACCTCACAGCCACCGTAGTTCAGCATGCAAACAGTTGCTTATTATAAGTAAGAGAAGAGTCCAGCTGAGGCTGATGGGAATGTCACTAATTCTGCAGGTATTGGGTCCTAAACTAAAATAATGTTGACCTGATGATGGCGCAAGATGGAAAACTCAGAGGATCAATAACGTTGTTACAATTCATTTAAATGTATTGTAACCTCAAACTGTTGAAAGTACATGTGAGAAGTTCAGAGGAGAAATGTTTCTTCCTGATAACAACTCAGAGACTGTGAGGCAACTTTATTTGTAAAGCACATTTCATACACCGGGGCAATTCAGTGTGCTTTTACCGGGCAATAAACGTGGAGAAAAGATTACATATTTAAGAGCAAAAGTACATGTAAGTGACACAAGAAATAAAATATAGAAAGTAAACGAGTGCAGGTTAAATCGATGGAAATAAAAACCAAAATATTCCCACATAGATGCATGATTTAATTAAAATTAAAACAAATAAAAACAATAAAAATGAAGCCTATTTACAAATTAACTAAATATAGAATGGGAACCGTTTTTTAAATTCTTTAGCTATACATATAAATGTGTTGTAGTAAGGGCTGAAATGTAAGGAAAAGGTAACATAAAATACACAGGTATGACTAAATCTCTAATAAATAATACATTCACTGTACTTTCCACCTTTGTGTAACCACTAACATCTCTCTGGGTTTTCCCGCCTACGTTCAGTACATATCGGACTCGCTGGAGCAGGACTGAAGCTGCTGCTGCTGTTTCTGATGTAGAGCCGGTGTTTTGGAAATAAAATGCAAATGATGTGAAGTGTCTCTCAGACAGCAGCTGTGATACTGACATCCATTTCATTTCATTTCACTCACTTACGGAGGAGAAATAACAGCAGCTTGTTGCAGCTTCCACAGCTCTTCCATGAGAGCTGACAGGAGACCCCCAACCCCCCAACATAAGAGACATAAGACCCCCAGACTGAAACAGACCATTAGATTACAAATCAGGTTTTAAACCTCCTCGTGGTCGTTTGATTTTTGTCCCTTTGTTGCGAGTTTCCATCAGCGTGTGGTTGTTTTGTCTCTTCAGTGTAGTTTTTTTCTCTTTGTGGTGTTTTGTGTCTTTTTGTGGTTCATTTAGGTCTCTATCTAGTTTTGCATCTTGTGTGGATCTTACTTTGTCTCACTTTCCTTCCCTTTGTGGTCGTCCATTTGGACATCTCTTTGTAGTGGTTTTGTGTCTCTGTGTCAGATGCTTTATGTGCTCGTTTGCAGGAGACTGACTGACTGACTTTCTAACATTAAACGGAAACAGTCTCCTCAGACAGGCCTGTTTGAGTGCGACAGAAGCTGAGCAGGATGTGGAACAGACTCAGTGTGCTGGTTGATCTCACTGTAGCTTACAGTGGATTATAGTTTAACATAAAAATACAATATGTTATGTAAGCTGTGTTTGTTGGTATTTATGAGAGCTGATGCATATAAATACATATTTGTTCTAATCCGTGTGAATCATATCCTGTACATATCGTCTTCTATAAGAACAGAAGGTTGTGTGTGTGTGTGTGTGTGTGTGTGTGTGTGTGTGTGTTATTTGTATGAACATGTTTGTGCCTTTTTGCGCCGTATGTTTGCATGGTTGTAACAAGCCCTGACGAATGTGTTTGCTATCCTTTTAAGAGGATTTTCCGTGTTGACATGTGATGTGTTGTGTTCAGATTCATGTGACAGGTGCTGCTCCACTAAATTGGATTTCCATCTCCTGAACGCATGGTGTTCCTGAGATATCTCTCTGTTCCCTTGCATGCTTTCAATTTATCCTGACAGATTCTCAACAATGTCATTTTTCCTGTCTACTGAAGCACCGGTCATAAATCATGTTGTTTTAAATTGTCTCTGTCCTCTCTGTGTGGTTTCAGCTGCTCTGGGAACGCTGGAGTTCGAGCTGCGGTACGAGCAGAGCTCCAGTGAGCTGCACTGCACGGTGCTCCGGGCCAAGGTAAGGACGCTTTCCGCACCACGGGTATTAATGTGCCGCTGCGTCAGCCTCCACTCCTCCGGTTCCAGGCTTTCCACCAGAAGCCTGACTGCAGGGATTCGTTCCCTTTCAATCCCAAGTGCTTTCAGTATGTTTCAGATCAACAACAGTTTTGTCTTAATATCACTGTGTGCTGCAGCGTTAGATTTATCTTTCCTGCAACGAAAGAAACCAAACCAGGAGAAACGTACATTTGCACCAACGAGGATTCATGTAAACTGAAATAGTGGAATAATCTGCCGGAAATATCAAGAATAACAGGACGCTGAAAGAAACTCACACACACAGGTTGTAACAGCAGAAATTGTTGCCCAGATACCATGCCATGCCATCAGACTGAGCCCAACCTGTCTTGAGTTGGTTGAGCGGTACACCTGCTGTGAATGGATGCTGAGCTTTTGCCTCTCAACTCAACCGTATCGTTTGGATCATGTAGGATCATATAGCAGCCGTACAACCGGGCTCGATACGATTGACGTGTTAGTAATAAACAACGAGTACTGAGGAAACCAGCATGGCTGTGTCTTTGACCACTCTCTTCAAGCTAACCCCCAAATTCCACCGGACACCGCAAAAATGTGTTCTGGCTCCGATGACCAGAGCTGATGGCGCCCGCTCTAGGCGCTCTGAGACTACTCCGTGTAGAATATACACCTATCTATTTTTTACAAAAGCTGCAACCCACTCACGTCAAGCAGCACAGAGCAGATCACACTGACAGGAAGTCAGCCACAGGTTTCAATCAATCAGTTTTCAAAATAAAATGCCACGTACAGACTCCAGATCGAATTTCACTCTACATCAACATTGTGGCACCAGACAGGAAGTCAGTCGGTCAGTCAGAGATTTTAAGCAGAGAAACACATCGTTCTGCTTCCTTTTTAACACATAATAACTTTATAGAAATCTTCTCTCTGATGGTTTTGTTTGTTTCTGTAGCTCATATAGAGGCTTCAGTTTATAACCAGATGAAATCTCCTTTTGGTACCTTAGTGAGTCAAATATCTGAATACTTCCACCACTGGAATCAGAGATGTAACACACTCAAAAGCTGCTATATAGATCCAAAACTGCAGATTGCTCAGTTGAGCTTCTGTGTATGTAACTTCATTTTCCCAGTAAGCATCCTTATAAACAGTCTTGTACCTCTGACTTGTTTTTAAAGAACTGGCCTTTGTAGTTCCTGTAACACCTCACAGCTGCGGAGTCAGCCTGCTGTCTCCCGCCAGGAGTCCAATCCAGCTTTATGTGAAGCTACTGGGATCAAATAAAAGTGTCTTTGGGACTCTCTCCACCAGGACGACAGCACAATGAGAAGATATTCACAAAGATTTACAGGTGTTTGTAACATGATTCAGAGCAAACTGCCACACAGGAGACTAATTTAAGTGTCAGAGAGCATAAGGACTATAAATAGACAACAAGCTGCACCACCGCAACTCTACACTCAACTCAGCAGCCGGCTGATATAACCGACTGTCCTCAGTGCGCAGGTATCTGTCATCATCCAGGAGGTTCAGCAGTGATTTCTCTCTCCAACAAACTCTTCTCATCACTTCCTCTTCGCACCAAACCCACACAGTCTCACTCTCAACTCCTCAAATACAGCCGCTCTCTCAGTGGCTGCTGCCGCTTCAGAATCTGTAGGTCTCCTCTGGTGGCACTTCTGGATGTGCAGGGGGAGTTATTATAGTGCACTAAATCTAAAGTAGGAACTAAAACTACTGTAGGTGTGAAAAATACATTTTAGTCAACTGAAATAAAAAATAAAAAGTAGACTTAGTTGACTTTTGGTCAAATGTTTCAACAGAGTTCATATTTATTGAGACTGCATGTTTGTATTGTTTTTGTATTTTAATACTTGTTATTTGTTGAAATTTGACCCCTAACAGTAGTTTATTTTCATAAAAGTAAAACAAAGAAATAAACAACCATTTGTATATGTTAGTAACTACTGTAAATTCCTTCCCTCCACAATCCCAACCTCTCAAAACAACAACAATAATAGTGCAGATTTATTGAATAGGTTAATAAGTAAAATAAGGTCAATATTGGCGTGTTTGTTTTGTAATACCTCTTCTGAACTTTTTAATACTTGACAAATACCCCCCATATTATCATAAAATAAACACTGAAATGGATCAAAACTGAACTGAAAACAAAATTAGTTTGAAAAAAATGTTAACTTACAGACGTCAGTTTTTGTTCACTTTTGGCCTCACACGGGGCACCAGCAGGGTTAAAGTCCTGTTTGTTTCCACCTCCATATGAGGACTTTCTCACTCTTTAAACTACGTCACCTGACTTCAACGTCCAGAAATGACACTAGAGGGATACTTACAGTCATATTTTGAAGTGTAGGACTAAGTGGCAGTATTTGACAACCAACATCCCAACATTTAACACCTGCTGGGACTCAACAGGTCAATGAGACAGACCGTCTCCAGAAAGCAGACTGAACCAGACAGTTTGCTGACAGCAGTGCAGATTTACTGTCATAAGACCTGCAGTATTTGTTCCATCCTCTGTGTTTCAGTGAAATTTACCGACCGAATAGCACATTACTCTGTGCAGAAGACTGAAATGTCACAGCTCTGATGAGTGCCTCAGTGAGTCTGGATTTTCAGTGAAACACTATTATGGATTTTATTAGTATTTCACAACACAGCCTCCATAATTCTCCACTCGGTGGAATAAAGTAAAAACAAACCCAAGTGATTTACAGAAGATGAGAGCAGATTTAATTTATGATCAGAGGAGAGAATCTCCAGGTGAAAATATTTCTCTTTGAGAGCAGCTTCAAATATAGAAAACACTATATTTCTTCTTAGCAGTACTACTCATTAGGGCTGAAAACATTTTCCCAGTCGACTAGTTGTTGCATGTTTATAATATTCATTTAATGATTTAAAGCTCTATATTTTAACTCAAGTCTCAAAACATGGAAGGTGAGTGGTATTCAGTTGGTTGTAATCTACAACCTCACCACTGGTCCTTTAAAGCTGCAGTAAGTTGTTTCTTTTCTTGGCTCTGATTGGTTGTTTTCGTTCGGGCCCGGTGGATTCTTGCAAACACCCTTTGGAGCTCTAGGAGGAGCCAGAGGAACCAGATTTTTTCACAGATTATCTGTCTCATGTTCTACTGTCATTCAGTAAAGGTTTCAGCAAATATGACAAAAAGATATTTTCACAAAAATTACCTACTGCCGCTTTAAGCATTTAAAACTTTCCTTCACAACAGGCAGTTCTTCTCTCTGAGGCGATGCCAGGGGGGAAATGATTTACATTCAAGTAGCTCCTCAAATAAAGAAAACAGAGGACAGAAATCTCACTGACAGCAGGTGCTCCGATTAGCTCCCATCCCTGAGATAATGAAGCAATTTAAACCTTACGTCTGTTTCTATCAGCATGCCTTCTGTAATGTTCTTCCTCTTTGTGATACTGTATACGTCTGTTGTAACAAACTACAGCTGCAGTGTGAGTAACATCGGATTATATTTGTGTCATGATGATCTTAGAAGAGTCATATTGTGGAGTAATACTGCTGCTTTTACAGACACCAAGTCCAGGTTATCAACTATACTTGAAGAAGCACATGTTGCTGTACTGAGACCAAACTTCTAATTAAATAAATAAGACCTGAACACAGTCTACATTCACAGAGCCTTCAGTCTCTAATCAACAGCCTCGTCCTGCATTAGAAAACAACCAAAGAGCTGATAGAACAATGAGAAGAAAACACTGAATCTGTAACTGAAGTCTGTATCATTGTTATAAATTGTTTAAAATCCTAAAACTCATCTCTGATCAACATTCACAGGAAATAGTCAAATCTCTGGTTTTACACAAACGTCCTGCAGTTATTGTGTTCACTGTTTGTGTTCATTGTTCAGTTTATCAGCTGTTCTCTGCTGTTTTTGATATGTTTTCATTATAATATCAATCATACCTAGCAGATAAAACCGATAGCTGCTAACTTATAAATGTAATTTACATGATATTATAGTTGTGTATCTTTCCTCCATCACATGTAAGATTTAATTTTACACCCGTCTGTCTATAAGGTCGAAGTCTGTTTCCTCAAACTCATTAAAAAAGCTGTTAGTGGAAAAAACACTACAGAAAAAAACATCACATCTTTGCAGCCGTCGCTGCAAATGTCAAAGCTGTTGAAAGAATTTAAGGAGCAATTTCTCACGATGATCTGTGTGCCGCTGATGAGGTCAACAGATTGAAATCAAGTGTTTGGTTTGATCCGTTGGCCGTGTGAGAATCCCGCTGTCTCTTTTAGTCTTTATGCTCTTGAATCATTTAACACACATCAGTGAAGAAGATCTGTGAGCTGGGAAAAGGTCAGGAAGTGATTGATAGAGATCTGATTACACAACGGGGGGCTGCGATCTGTCTATACTGATGGATTTATCACAAAACTTAGTAAATACATAGAAAAGTTAATAATTTAATCAATGAATTAATTAATGTAAAGATGTAGATATTGAACATTCACCAGGTCCCCTTGAGGTAGCTCACCTGAATCACAAATGCACACTGTAAAAAATGTCTGTAAACATTGACAGTAAAAGACTGTAAACTCTAAAGAAGTTAAATACAGTTTCTGTAACAGTAAAACAACATTATATTTCATGACAAAAACTTTATTTATACAGCATTTTAAATGAATTTATACAAAATAAAGTTGTTTTTTTATACAACAGGCTGTAATTGTACAGAAAACCATCATCATAGCTTTTTTTATGTGACAAAACTGTTTCTTTTAATGGTAAAAACTTATACACTAAAATATGGAATAAAACTGCAGCTTTAACCATAAAATCAACAAACAAACATTTACTGTAACAGTAGAAAGGTAATTTGTTTTAATCTTTAAATTTTACAGTGCAGTCATTGTCAGTCGTCATTTAAAGTGAACTGTTGTTGTTTTGTTGTTTTTGTGTACAGGGTCTGAAGCCGATGGACTTCAACGGTTTGGCCGACCCGTACGTCAAACTGCACCTGCTGCCTGGAGCCTGTAAGGTGAGACAACCATGTTATTATCAGCTGTTGTTGTAAAACTTCAGTTTAGTTTTTATTGTTTAAAAATGCAGTATTAGTTTTAGGTTTTTACTTTAATAAAATAATGGGGGTATAAGTCAGAATAGGTATTACAATTGATCCCTCCTAAGCCCCGCCTCTTTTTGCTCTGTGCTCCAATAACAGTTGAGCTAGCCTCGGTCAACCAATGTTCAAAAGTCCATATTTCGAGAGCAAAATCTTCAAATACCTAAATAACAATTGTTGTAAATAACAATAGTTGTAAATAACAATTGTTGTAAATAACAATTGTTGAAAATAACAATTGTTGTAAATTGCAAGTTAGTTAGTGTTTCACTCTATAACATTAGCTTCCAGATGTAGCTATATTTAGAAGACAACCACATTTTGAAGATGGTTAAAAGACAAGAGAGACATATATAAATACATATATATAGTCATATCTTAAGTTACCTAATGTCAGGAAAATAACTAGCTAATGATGATGTAACCAAGCTAGGTATAGTTAGTTCGTGTTTTGTTCTGTAGCAAATCAGCTAGCCTTTTTTCTAACATTAGCTAACTTAAGATGTGACTATATATATTATATATCTTCTTATATATCTCTTTTATCTTTTGACCATCTTCAAAATGTGATTGTCTTTCCAACATAGATTAGCCTAGCACGTAGCATATCTAAGTACAGGAAAGGAGGAGGGTCAATACAAACACATTGACTCACAGTTGTTGTGTTGACCAATTAGATGAAAAACATAAAGACATTTCCTGTATATTTTTGTTTCAGTTAGTTTTGTTAGGTACGAAATATTGTTTCAGCTAGTTTTCAATCTTTTTTTAAAAGTCCAGTTTGTGTTTTTTTAATTTCAGTTACCTAAAATGTTTTTCATTAGTTTTAATTAACTGTAATAACCTTGGTTTGCAGTGGACTGACTGAACAGTGTGAATTCATCTGATATCAGATCAGAGATTTCAGAGTTCATTTGACGTCATGAAATTAAATTGTGGACGTGTGGAGCAAAAGCATAAAAGAAACAAGATTGCTGTTCTGGTTATGATGATAAAAAGTGAAATGTGTTTTTATGGAACTCATTTTCAAGATCAAATTGGGACAGTTTCACAAATTAAACTGAACCAACTGACAGTTCAAAATTAATCTTTTGTGATAGGGTTTAAATACGAGTCTGCAGCGTTGGTGCAACCTGACGAGACTTAAACTGAACATCAACTGAGTTATAAACCTCGATTACATTCAAATATAAATTCACTTTGGATTAGATTTCATTCAGGTTTAACAAAACTCAATGAGAGAAATATCAAAAGGATTATCACACATTGGGAGCATTTTCTGGAGCTGCAGAGTGTGAAATGCCAAACTAAAATCAATATGTATCAATATGTCTGTCTGTGTGTCCTCCAGGCCAATAAGCTGAAAACGAAGACGATTCGTAACTCTCTGAATCCGGTGTGGAATGAAACGCTGACTTATGTCGGGATCACAGAAGAAGACATGCACAGGAAGACGCTCAGGTGTGTGTGTGTGTGTGTGTGTGTGTGTGTGTGTGTGTGTGTGTGTGTGTGTGCGTGTGTGTGTGTGTGTGTGTGTGTGTGAGCGTGTGTGTGTGTGTGTGTGTGTGTGTGTGTGTGTGTGTGTGAGCGTGTGTGTGTGAGCGTGTGTGTGCGTGAGCGTGTGTGTGTGTGTGAGCGTGTATGTGTGTGTGTGTGTGTGTGTGAGCGTGTATGTGGGTGTGTGTGTGTGTGTGTGTGTGTGTGTGTGGTTCATGGCCGGTTTCATCGGATCTCATTTCGGACTGATTACACTTACAGCCATTAATCAAGTGCAGGGACATCTTGACATTCAGATATGAAGCTCAGTTGTCATTTTTAATTCATTTAACTGTCAGAGTAGAGAGCTGCTGTGTGAAAACTGGAACGTAACTCATGAGCCGGAGTGATCTTTTTACTGTTTCCTCCTCTGTTCTCTCTTGTAAACGCTGGCAATAAACAGCCATCAGCTCAGACTGAAGTGCAACATAATCAGCTCTTTTTTCAAAGAGGTCTGGTATGGGGGTTTTTTTCCTACGTGCTGCACCCAGCATGCAGTCGGAAAAGAAGCTTGGCACATGTCGATGTGTTTTCCACCCTTTAATGATGAATTAATGTTTCCACCATTGAAAGCACAGAGGGGGGGTGCAACCGGAGGAGCGTGTCCGTAATCGAAAGAAGTGTGAAATAACAGAGCGGAAAGCCTTTAATTACTGAAGTCCGGGAGCAAACATTTAATCTAAACTAAACATGTAGCAAAGCCAGCGTGTAATTGTGAACAAACCTCTAAGGGTAATGTAAGAAAGAGTGTGCAACACTGGCCAAGCAGCATCGTCTGTATAACGGTCGCTGTGAAGGATAATAATCAGTAACAGTTTGTCCTGAAGTGGATCTGAGACCTTTCAGACTGACTCCTTTAAAGGCATCGTCCACCTGAAATCCAGCAGTGGAAGACGTATTCAGACTCTTTACTTAATTATTTCATTTCTTTTATTATCAATCACTTTTTTTTATAAATCTCAGTCTGATACACATCTCTGTTCAAGGTCACCAATAGTGACATACATTTTAATTCTCTTTGTCTTCAGCTCAGTGTTTGGACCAAGCAGTGCTGTGTTACAAGAGAAAAGGTCCATCTTGCAACAGTCCCTCATACTTCCATCCAAGTGATAAGCTCCTGAACGGAGTTAACATTGGGGGGGGGGCGTCGACTAAGACTCTTCTCATTGACAGACAATTTAGTCATTTGTAATGTTTCTCCACTCATTCATTCAGGTTTTTCCTTTAATTTATCTCGTCTGTACATGCTATCTTTTGGGGCAAATGATGCGTAGGCATAATATTGATTTTAATTACTATGCAGATGATACACCACGGTATGTCCCAATAAAGCTTGATACCACCAATTAATCCTGTATTAAGTCCTGCCTTGTTGAAATTAAGATTTGCATGTCTAAAAATAACTCCAAATCAGAAATAATTTGAATGAACCTTCAGCAGCAGGAGCATTAACAATCTCTCTTCTCTTCTGGGTGTCTTATCTAATAATGTTAAAATAAAGGCAGTAACCTGGGTGTGTTATTTGAGTTCTTTGATGATGAGGTCACTAAAGTGCTGCAGTCCTTCATCCAACTGTGACACTGAAGCAAGATCAGGTTGTTCCTTTCATCTGCAGATCTAGAAAAGCTCACTCATGTTTTCATCTCCTCCACTTTATTCTGATGTCAGCAGGTGAAACATCCAAAGACTGCAGCTGATACAAAACTCTGCTGTCAGGCTTTTAACTCGTTCTGAGAGAATATCACATCGATCTGTACTTCACTGGTTACCTGTGAGGTTGTGATTGATTTTTAAAAGTTTGTTGTTATTAAAGTATTGAATGGTGGAACTCCTGTCTGTATCTGTGACTCCTGATGAGCCTGATGGCTGCTGGAGATCCTCTGGCAGAGACCCAGTAATGGTTCCTAAATCTCAACTTGTCATTAAAGCTGACGGGCTGTGAATGTATCAGTATTCATCTCTTCTTAGACTTTACTTTTATCTATCTTACTTGCTTTGATATGGCTTTTTCTTAACCAGTTTCTTTTTTCTTCTTTTTATGAAAAATTTTAACAGAGAAAATTATTTAAAACATTGAGGAAAACATGAATGAATGAATGAGGCTCATTGTCACTTCTGAGCTGAATGCTGCTCTTAGAACCTAGACAATGGTACGGGGATCAGTACAGCGAGCACTGCTTACATGCAGATTGCATCAGGTTTCACAAATGTTTGTTGCTCACAGTTGTAAATAAATGAGAGCTGATTGCTGCCGTTCTAGACACTTATGATTCCACCAGCAGTATGTTTCATATTGATTGGGGATACTTTTATGGCACTACCCAAATTTCACACCACCAAGTATCAAAAAAAAAGGCTTGACATTCAGTACCAAATTCGGACACCAATGGAGTAAAAGCAGAGACAACTGAGTGAACTTTGTGTTGATTGTAAGCTAGATTGTTGTCGGACCCGAGGTAGCCTTCTATTTTTTGCAGATCGAGCTGGCAGGTAATCAGACACAGAAATGGCATAGAGATTCCAGCTAATTTAAAAAATATTTAAAACAGGCACTAATAACCAAAAAACAGCCACTGCTAGTCAGAGCAGCACTTTGACCAAAATACACAATGAAAACAGCGAAGACATGTTCACCAGTGTGTGTGAGCTGGTGCATATATATCAACAGATGGTACAAATTACTGTCTAACAGGAAACTGGCAACAAAAACTGTTCAATTATATTTATCCCGTAGACAAATTTCACATTTCACAAAATCCAGCAACCAGGCAGCTTTATAACAATATAATATAAATATACATATTTAGAGAAACTGATAAACGCTCCATGTTGCCTGTTCATAGATTAGAGTCTGGATGTCCCAGTGGAAGTTGTGGCTATTCAGCAGGTTTATGTTTTGTCACCAAGCTGATTATTAGTGACTGAAATAATTCCAACCAGTATCAGGTTAAATTTTTCACCTTTAAAACAAACAAATCTCCATGAAAATCGGTTCAGAATTCTGTGAGTTAAGGTCAATGTTGTAGTGAAGTCTTGATCTCTCAGTATTGTTACCTAGCGGATCTGACATACAAATGGATCGCAGTATCTATGTTTCTATACCTGCGCTCCTTTCCTCGCCCAGAGGGTTTTATTAACTTGCTCAGATTTAGTTTATTTGGTCAATTTTGTTTCTACTGATGGGTAAATAGACAATGTAGTTAAAAAGTTTCTGTTTTTACAGTCGGGGGTCTGTGCAGGGTGTTTTATTTTGAATCTCTGTGCCGTTTCTGTGTCTGACTTTCTGTCAGTTTGATTTGCTCTGTGCAACTTCTATCAAAAATAGACCCACTACATATTCTCTGCAATGCTTATGAAACACTACGGCAAGATATCATAAAAATGTTTTGTTACCAATAACTTGACTTCAATACTGGCTCTCGAACGATTTACACTTCACAACAAAATGACCTAATGTAACATTGAAAACCTCCCTACAGCCTCCCCTTACTTTTACAGTGCCGTCATAAGAACAACTCACTTCCTGGGTCAGACAGAAACAGTGGACGTAATCCAGGCAGCAATTATCTTCCCTTCAAAACAAGTCTGATAAAGCTAATTAATGATATCTACAGCGAATGTGAGAGGCAGGGTTGCCCCGCGTTGAGCTTCACTGCCTCCTCAGACCTTTGTGCCAACATTCAGGTTCCAGGTTCCTCTGGGACTTCACTTTTTCTCTCCTCTTCAGCTTCAAAACAAAAGTGAGAAAAATACATTTTGCGGTTGATCCCGAGGGCCGAGTGTGTGTGAGAGTGCTTGTATTTCTGTCTCAGTGAGAACCAGTTTTGGACCATGACAGTGAAGATGAAGAGCTGTTTGACACTTCTGGTAAAAGCAAACTGAAATCTGAATCCCCCATTTATTGTGTAGGGAAATAGGAACTATAACAATGCTGCCTAAAACAGTTAATGGACATGTTTGAGGAAAAAGCCTTAAGCTTCAGGATGAGCGTTTCCATGGCAATGACTGACTGACAACTGAGAGCGGTTGTTGCTAGGAGACTCACGTCAACCTCTATGGTGACTGGTCACAACCTCTTACAGTCTACGGAGGATAATATAAAGAGAAAAACGTCTGTCTCTGTAATATATGTAACGGATAATACAGACGAGTCCATTATCAGGAATTAACAGACGGTGTGGAGGTCAGAACCGTCCAACACGTGGAAACATTGCTCCAGTGAATAGGACGAACTGAAGATACAACTTGGCAACAGGACATATTATTTCATACAATTTAACTGTAAAAGTTTAGGTCAGTTTGTTTCACTTTTTACATTTGCACGACTGCCACTTGATATGGTAGAAACTGGACATTTCAGCCATTTATTTCACCATTTTTGCAAAAACTTCTAGCTAACTATTCCAACTGTTTATTACTTAAAGCAATCTACACTATTTTAACCATTACTTTAGGTCCTTCATGAATTTTTGTAATACTTTTAGCTAACAATTCTAACAATTTATCAATTTCTTCTTTACTATTTGAACAATTGAAAAATTAAAATATTATAAAGATATAATAGAAAATATAAAAACTGTAATGAAAATATATTAACTATATGCAGTAAGACAGTGTATATGTATATGTAACAGTTTATAACTGACTGATAGCTGAAATACAGTAAGTTCATAATTAGTTATCCATCTCAACCATTCATTCTCTGTTTACTAGCTATGTAATGTTAGTGTTACATTTTTATATAATCAGTCAAACTCATATTAATGTTATCTTCAGTTTGGCTTTAAGGTTCATAGAAAACTTTATGTGGAGAGAAACTGGAGCTCAGCACACTGCTAACCTTTAAATAAATTTGCCTCAAACGACTCGATTTCATTCTGATCCAGTTCATAAATGATAAAACTAGTTTCTGGATGGATGCCAGAGGTCAGTCTGTCAGTGAACACTCTTCTTTCCGTCAGTCTTTGCAGGGCTTCATGTGAATACATTGTCTGTGATATAATGTATTTAAATGTATACAGTACATTTTCTGCCAGCTGTTGGTGACACTCTGTCGTTCTTTGTTCTCTCCGTCTCTCGACCTTTCCCCGTCAGTGTCTCCACATTGTTTACCTCCACATTTAATATGCTGTTTGTGTTTGCTTTAATCCGGAGCTCCTGACTGTGTTGTGACTGTTTTAATAGTCTGTCTCTGGTGAACCACGGCGCTGTTATTGGCTCCACACACAGAACAGAGCTGCCTCCTCTTGGACCTGAGTCGGTTTATTGAAAAGCAGAAACGACTCTGTTGTTTAGTTTTGTTTTCTCGTGTTCAACCTCGTCAGTTCAGCCGACAGCAGGGACGGTGGTAGGTAGGGGACAGGTGGAGACAGACAGCTTCAAACTCACCTGACAGAAACCCAAACTGACCACACTCAAACACACAGACCTCTGTACTTGTGAGGACGCAAACCCTAAACATATTCTAACCTTAACCCTCACACCAAGTCCTCGCTTTCTAAAAATGTTCCCACTTTACAAACATGTCCATACTTTCTATAAAGGGTAAGAAGAGACCGACTGATTGCTAAAGAACTGTTTCCATATAGCTCTTTTTAAGCCCTAATGAACCAATTAAACACAAGCATGGTAGCGAATATAAAGACCAGGTTCAGGAGAAGAACTGTTGGTGCCATATGTGAGTGCTGTTCTTTGATCCAACGTCCTGAACAGAATCTGACATTTCACTGTGAGAACGACAGCTTCTGCAGTTTGATCTTCATCACATCAGCGACCTTTTTGTGATGAGAACTCGTCAGCGGGAGGATTTCCTCCACCGCCCGCTGACAAAGGCTTTACCATGTCGGGAGGAAAAGACTGATTCAGTGTGGAAATCCCAGAGGAAGTGTCTTCCTCATCTTCTCTGTTTATACTGAGGTCAAACATCCAGCTCGGGTCTTCAGTAGTGATTCAGGAAATCTCTCAGGCCCAGGCAGCTCTTATGGATGTTTTCTATAGACACGCACATATACACACAGAGGAAACTAAAGGTTTTATATTTTTAATAAACAAATTTCACTTAAAATATTTCCTTGTTTCCTCTCTTTTCTCCTGTTTCCTCTCCTGTTTCCTGTTTCCTGTGCAGGTTGACTGTGTGTGACGAGGACAAGCTGACTCATAATGAGTTAATTGGAGAGTCCCGGGTGCCTCTGAAACGTGTGAAACCCGACCAGACCAAACATTTCCACACCTGCCTGGAGCATCCACCACCGGTAACACACACACACACACACACAGTATTGCATTAACTCAACCTCTGAGGAAATAAACTGCACTGATCCTTCAAGTGATGGATGGTCGGCCACAACTTCGGTCCACACTGAAACATCTCTACTACTAGGTGGATTGTCATCCTCCTGTTTGTTCTCTAGTTTCCACTCTCATCTTCTTCCCTCTCGTTTCATCTTTTTTCTCCTGTTTCCTCTATCTTTTTGTTTCCTTTCCTATTTCTTGTCTTCTTCCCTCTCCTGTTCCCCCTCTTTTTTCTATGTTCTGTTCTGTTTCCTCTCTCCTTTTTTGTGCCCTCTTTTGTTTCCTCTCCTACTTCCTTTCTTCTTCCCTGTCCTGTTTCCTCTCTCATCTTGTTTCCTCTGGTGTTTCCTCTCCTCTCTCAGGATATAATGTGTAAAATAACAGAATTTGTTTTGTAAGGGTTTGAAGCGACTCTGAACACTAAATTCAGCCATAAGCTGCAGCAGTCATTGGTGCACCGATGGTTTAAATGCTAATGTAGTTCAGATCAGAGCCTTTGTCTGCGTTCCAGACTGTAAAGAAGTTTTGTAGTTGTTGTTTTCTGTAGCAGTTTGACTCTTTGAACAGAAATACAGGAAAGAAGCCTCGTCACTGTAACTGCTCTTTCTCTTTGTGTTTCCTCACCCAGCTCCCCTCTCCTACTGCCATGGGTGTAGCCCTTCGAGGAATATCCTGCTACCTAAGAGAGGTAGGACTCCATCCATCAATCTGTCTATAAGTGCAGGTCACCGAGTTCGCTGTCACTTTCACATTCAGCACTGACCGCTCTGATGTGGTGACACCTGACGAAAGGTCATGGGGGCTACCTAAATCAACAAGTTTCTTGCTCATGAGAGTGACAGACAAACTGTGATTACACGGCACTCTGCTCCTCGCTGGTAAGAGAGCTTCTTTAAAGATTTATGGATCCGAGAGGTCAGGTTGAGGTTTGACAACCACTGGACTGACTTTCGAATTTATTAGAAATGATGCATTATTTTTATGTAACGGCTGAATATATTCATATACTGAAATATCCTCATTCTTACTGGCTGAGTTTAGAACATTAGTGAGGTAAATATTCAATGAATCAGTTGTTTTAAACACGTTGAGCTGCTGTCATTAGATATAAATGTAATTTTGCAGACTAATGCTGCAGTAAAATATTTACTTGCTTACTATACTTACGTATATTTTAACCATCTTCAAAATGTAGTTGTATTTTAGACACATAGCATATCTAAGTACAGACAAAGTCTGAATTAAGTTTGTTTTACAATGATCTGAGGGTAAAATGAGTGTTTTTGTCTCTGGAGTCTGGTGGAGAGTGATAGTGATATTACGGCTGTTTGTGGTTAAACTAAAGGTCTATCTCTGTAGGGATCCTTTCCATAATGCTGTCAGACACTGACAATAACAACCTGAGTCTGTCAGTGGCAGAAACTACTACTGTTAGTGGAACAAACAACTACTACTGTTAGTGGAACAAACAACGACTACTGTTAGTGGAACAAACAACTACTGTTAGTGGAACAAATAACTAATGTTAGTGGAACAAACAACTACTGTTAGTGGAACAAATAACTAATGTTAGTGGAACAAACAACTACTGTTAGTGGAACAAATAACTAATGTTAGTGGAACAAACAACGACTACTGTTAGTGGAACAAATAACTAATGTTAGTGGGACAAACAACTACTGTTAGTGGAACAAATAACTAATGTTAGTGGAACAAACCATGACTACTGTTAGTGGAACAAACAACAACTACTGTTAGTGGAACAAACAACGACTACTGTTAGTGGAACAAACAACGACTACTGTTAGTGGACGGATTTTGAAGTATAGCCATAGCAGCCGTTTGGGGTTAAGGGTTTATTTCAACCAGAGTTGGTTATAGTTGTTGGAACGACTAACAAAAATGGTTTCTGCCGAGTTTTAATGAAATGTGTTTACGAACTGGGAGGTTAAATTTGTGTTTTTGTCAATGGAGTCTGGCAGGTCTGAGATGCTGCCGCTCTAGTGCGACGTCTCTGAAAGTCGTGTACAGCACGTTTAATGTTGCTGTTTGCAAATCATTATTAATAACACGAGTTATCTCATTGTTAATCTTATCAGTTACACCTCGTTAGTAATGTTACTAATTACACCTCTGCAATAATACGCATAGATACATCTCATTATCAGTGTTTTTGTTACAACAAGTTGCACCTCATTATTAATGTTGTTGGTTGCAGCTGAAATATGTTTGCTGTGATGAAGGTCTGTCAAATTTCGAACAGATGTGAGAACAATTTTTAGGACCGTTGCTGTGGCAAATAAATCTCCACTGCATGAATCATGAATTAATGAATGAGGAGAATCCACTTCTTCTGTGTATTGAGCAGAAACTGAATGTGACCTGCAGTCTGAGACGAAGTCAGAAAGGATTATCTTTTATGCTAATGAATGATTAGAGACCAAGAAAGGCTGGAAGAATTGATATTTTAATTGGCCTCTTGCTGTTGTTTTTCCATACATATTTATTTTTTTCATCTGAGTCAGAATATGTGTGCCACCGTTTCAGTCAGGCCAATTAATACATTAAGTTAGAGGAAATACAATCTGCATGCCGAGCAGAGAAACCTCTTTTAAATGATATCTGATGATAAGTGGACTCAATGTCTCTGGATCCTGTGAAGTTTAAACCCATAAGAGTTAGTTAAGTGGCACTCGTGGTTCTTGTTTCAGCAGCATTGTGTGCTGAGAGGACACTTCACATGAGGAGCCAGTTCAAGCTTTCCCTCGAGTGGTCAGTGGAAGTGATTCCAATTATATATTCTAGTTCATTGTCCTACAACATCCAATCTACGCACCAGGGGCCTGATTTATAACACAGACTTAAGATCAATGTTAGGTTAGGTTAAGTTAGGTAAGTTTTATTTTTCCGATCATTTAAAAAATTAATTCACAATAATTTCCATGAATAATTTCTTGAACAGATGTTCATACAAACAAAACAAAAGAAACAACAAAGATAAGAGAAAAAGGTAATAATACATATAAGCAAAACAATTAATATATCATCATTCTTTCCTCAGCCCTATATGTTTATCTTACAAATTATTTATTTTCTATATTATTCACTTTTGTTTTCTTTGACCGAAAAAAAGGTGTAGACTGAAGCTTAAGCTTATTTTGTCCTTTTTTAAAACATGAATAAATATTAAAAAACTTACATCAATAGCAATGACTTTTCAACATGACAAAGTAAAATAAATTAACAATTTTAGTTCTCATAACAAACTAAAAACATTATTATCCAGATACCTGATTTCAAAAATTCACAAATTCACAAATCCCCACATTCACTTCTTACATAACTTTCTGTTTTAGTTTTAAATAATTTCTTAAATGAACCCATATTTTTACTTTCTTTCAATTCAATGTCACAATCATTCCATAACTTCACTACTGACACACATCTACTTTTCCTATTAGTTCTTGCCCATTTCCTTTCAAAAATGAAATTTCCCCTCAGTGGATAAGTGCTTGTCCTCTTTGTGAATAACCCTTGGATACAGTCTGGAAGTGTTTTACAATGTGCTCTATACATTAACTGTAATGTTTTAAAGTTAACCAAATCCTTAAACTTCAAATTTTGAGAGTGCATGAATAACATATTGGTGGGGTGTGTATATTCAACCTTGTTAAACGGTCTTATAGCTCTTTTTTGCAACAAAAAAATGCAATTTGTATTAGTTTTGTAAGTATTTCCACATATCTCTATACAGTATGTAATGTAAGGAAGAATGAGTGAGGAATACAAAATTAATAATGATTTATGGTCCAAGATGTCCTTAGTTTTATGGAGTATTGCAATAGATTTAGATATTTTAGATTTAATGTAGTTTATGTGGGTTTCCAGTTTAATTTATGGTCTATCATTACACCCAGGAATTTGTTTTCATACACTCTCTCTATTTCTACTTTGTTAATCCTGAGTTTAACCTCATTGTTTATTTTTTTTATTTCCAAACACTATGAATTTTGTCTTACTTAAATTCAGTAACAGTTTGTTCACATCAAACCATTTTTTCAAATTATACAATTCACTTTCGACTATATCCAAAAGCTCATTCAGAACTTTATGTGAACAAAACAAATTAGTGTCATCAGCAAAAATAACAAAATGTAGCAGCTCTGATGCTCTGCAAATATCATTTAGATAGAGATTGAAAAGTTTGGGTCCAAGGACTGACCCTTGGGGTACCCCACAGGTGACCTTTTGAAGCTCTGAATTTTCAGTGTTAACATTTACATACTGGTACCGGTTATCCAGATAGCTCTTCAGCCAGGAATATGCTACACCTCCAATGCCATAGTTTTCCAGCTTACTCATTAATATCTTGTGATCTATTGTATCGAAAGCTTTTTTGAGGTCGATAAATACCCCCACTGTATACTCTATGTTATCTATTGATGAAGACATTTTTTCAACCAGTTCCATTATAGCCTGTGTGGTTGATCTATTGGCTCGAAATCCATGTTGTTGCTCACTTAATACATTTTCCGCCAAAATTATCCAGTCTTTTTACAAATATCTTTTCTAAAAATCTTAGAAATTTGATGTTGATTGGATTTACGTAGAAGTAGTTTATAAAACCTTTGTTGGACATGATCTTCTCTCTTGTGTAGGGGTATTGCAGCCTGTGATAGGCCTGCGACCTAGGTATAGTGAAAAGTGGAAGTGCAAGATTATGCCTGGCCAATTTTCATTCAATAAACACCTGAAAGTGCCAATTCCTGCAATATAGAACCTTCAATTGTGGTCAATAAAGCTGATTATTGACTCTAAAGTTCAGTTTATTTCTCCATTATTTATAAAATATTAGTTTTTCACTGTGTTATGTACCTTCAGCAGTGAGTAACCAGCACACAAAGGACACCCACTTACCGAACTCCCTTTAAGAAATATACAATTTTAACAATTCCTAACATGTCCGTAACAACACGTAACTCTAGAAACACAAGCTTAAGTCCCATGTCGATGGTCTTCTTTCTTTCTAATTCGGCACCAATGTAATAATAAAAATAAAATAAAATAAAGATGAACTATACTCTGTAAAACTTTATATTTTGTCTCTGCTGGTTGGTGGATCAGATACACGCCAAATTAAACACCAACTCATAACACTGTTAATTCACCATCTGTTGCCTGGCAGGCCTGACAAAACCCTCATTTGTGCTAGAATAATGTTAGGGGACATCACGAAGGAACAGTGCTCAGTATGTTTTATAAATCAAGCGTAAGCATACCATCAGAAATGACCTTAAGTTCAAGTATAAATCTAAGAACATATTTATAAATGAGACCAGAGAGATCAGCTCAGGTTTAAGACTAGCACCGTGGTGAACGGCAGCACTTCAGCTATTTAAGGTAATTTTTAATAGAAAATAAAATCTGTGATCCAAATGGAAACAAAATTATAAATTTAAAATTAAGTTTTAGATTTTTATTATATTTTCATATAATGACTCTGAAACTAAATCTACATCAATGTTCGTGAAGCCATAAAACAGACCATAATCTGTTCAGAAACATTCAAAAGTAGCTATTAGTAATTATAATATATATATATATATATATATATATATATAAGTAATTAGTAATTATTTAAGGATAAGGGTGAATATAGCATAAATGTTATTTCACACTCAGCTATGA